CACCCCCCTAAAAAACAGGAAATATGCCAAATGCAGTATTTCAATCTCGTGTATGTGAAAAAACCAGAGCTGTCAAACAGTTGTAATAATTCTTTACAATAATATGCAACATTTTGTGCAGGTAATTGTTATTAATCAATTTTCCATTTAAAAAGCAGTGCGTTTTGTTATCGCTATAGGAGCTTAATCAGAATCTATTTGTTACTTTTAATAATTGTGTATCATTATTTTATCATGTGAGTGCAGGGTATACATAAAAATCACGTGATTTCCAAAGAGTAAATGCAGTTTTCAAGTTTCATCACTGACATCCAGTGAGAGCAGCAGTGGCTGCATGTTTAAACCAACAGATGTATATATCATATACACCGACTGGCCATTTCATTAAGTACACCTTGTTTCTACACTCCTATACCCATTTTATCAGCTCCACTTACCATAAAGTGCACTCTGTAGTTCTACAATTACAGACTGTAGTCATCTGTTTCTCTGCATACTTTGTTAGCCCCCTTTTACCCTGTTCTTCAGTGGTCAGGACTCCCACAGGACCACCACAGAGCACGTATTATTTGGGTGGTGGATCATTCTCAGCACTGCAGTGACACTGATGTGGTGGTGTGTTAGTGTGTGTTGTGCTGGTACGAGTGGATCAGACACAGCAGTGCTGCTGGAGTTTTAAACACCTCAGTGTTACTGCTGGACTGAGAATAGTCCACCAACCAAAAATATCCAGACAACAGCGTCCTGTGGGCACTGATGAAGGAGTAGAGGATGATCAATAAAGTAATAGAGTGGACAGTGAGTGGACACGGTGGTTAAAAACTCCAGCAGCACTGCTGTGTCTGTGTCATACCAGCGCAACACACTCCCACCATGTCAGTGTCACTGCAGTGCTGAGAATGATCACCCACCCAAGTAATACCTGCTCTGTGGTGGTCCTGTGGGGGTCCTGACCATTAAAGAAAGCTAACAGAAACAGATGGACTACAGTCTGTAATTGAGGAACAGCACTTAAAAGCTGTATTTGAATGAGATGACTAACATCATAGCAACACACAGCACGTGTCCAGCTAAGCTTCAACCTGTACTACTATCTTAAACAACGTTTAAAAAACATTGGTGTTAACCCCTTAATTGGCCAGAACCCACAGGTGGGTCCTCCCAAGTTTTATTACACACTTCTATAAGAATAACTCGGCCAGTTTGCTTTGTAGTCTATGTAGTTAATAAATAATAAGCTTTAGTATGTAATAAGCATGCAATTTTAAAGGCTTAATAATGTATCACATTAACTCCTTACTTATCCATTAACAACACTAAGAAAAAAACACAACAGTGATTCACATGGCATTTTTACAACACGTACAACTTCAGGGGTTTTTGTTATCATTCATTGTTACTTTTAATGGACTAGCTAACTTCACAGTTTGAAAGCTTGTAGTGAGTACTTTGCCATACATTTCCAAACATGACTGCTGAACACAGCATTGTTATTAGCCTACAGTGATAATGGCAGCACTAACTAACAGTTAGATTTGTCATGTTTTTCAAATACAGTTTATTTAGCAGTAAAAAGTGTAGGATTAAGTAACACGCTAAGCGGAACTTTGTTTTTGCTGAAAACGTTTAGTGGGTCAAAAATAGATATGAATATATATATATATATATATATATATATATATATATATAAAAATATTCAGAGTGAGTGTAGAGAATGGAAATGTAGATAGTATGTATGAAGTAATGCAGGTAGACATTTAGTTTGTTATTGGATTTAATGGTTTCTTACAGTGTAAAAGTAAAAGAGGCACAAAAAAGAGGAGCACAAGTCATGATGTGAAGCTGAGCAGAGAGAAAGACCTTGAAGCAGTAGCTCTACCCCATGGGAATTCACGCCACATGCGGTCACAGAGGGATTCTGGGAAACACCGTGTGTTTGTACCAGATCCACACTCGTTGTACAGGTGTCACTGACACAGATGGTATAATTCATTACCAGCATGATGCCTGCATCACTGATGACTAATGTGAGAAGAAATATGAAAGAATATTTCCTCGTTGCAGCTCCAGTTCCTTCACATCAACCTTACAGCTTTACATCCAGAGTCTTTGTCTTTTCTCTTCTTTAAAGGACACTTATCACACTTTTATGGGCATAAAAAGGTCAACTTTTTTGATGTAGCATGTAAAGACTGTCAAAGTTTTATAATGTACCCTTCACACCCTGCTCCACACTCTACTCCACACCCTGCTCCACACCCTGCTCCATACCATCCATGTATGAAAACTAAGCTGTAAAAATGACAGATTTATATCTGCCTTTTCAGCCTACAGGCGTTTAGTCTCGCACGTTCATGCTGATGTGTTCATGCATGAGAGTTTCTACATGAACTGCTTTTTAACAAGAGACAAGGCAGCCAATCAGAACAAAGCTAATTTACATATGTCAGTCTTAATGGCACAGTAACAAAAACAGTCTGTTTCATTCTAAGGGATGAATTGTCAAATAAAATAGAATTTTTACTGTTATTATCATTATTGTTTTTGTTGCATAAAACTTAGAAGTGGAAGTGAAAACAAATGTAAGAGAAATGTAGAATATTGGCCTTTCAAATCTGCCCCAAGTGTAGCTGGGACATGTGCATGTCCACACTGCCTATGATAAAATGGATCAGCATGTAGAATTGGAGCTTTCTGCGTGTGTTTGTGTTTTCTATCATTAGATAAAAGAAGCTCAGTGCGGCCTTTATTGTTGTTGCACACACATTCAGAATGCAGTTCAGATCAGCAGAAATAATGGACTGGATATTAGACGGGAAAAAGAAAGAACCTGATCTAGGCCTGAAACAAATCTAACCCGAAATATTACACACTCATACTGCATGATGTGATGTTGTTAGCTGTTGTTTGTGTGTGGGGTAGGAGTGTTCAAGTGGCTTGAGCATCATAGCCCACTTTTAGACAATCATCTTAAGTGAAGTGATAGAATTAAAAATAGCTCATTGTAAAGCTTAGTAGTTTTTCAAGAAGAAATACTTCACCACTACTGGCAGATTCTCAAGGTCTCAATATTGTTGCTGGATAAGAAAAAGTGGTATTGTGCCATCTTTACTTTAAGGAGAATAGTAGATTAAATGGTAGAAATAGCTCACATTAAAAGGCAGTTTTGGGATATTAATTACTTCTCTCACTGTAATGGAATTATGTTACTCAATACTTTGTGGAAAATGTAATATCATTTCTCATTACTTTTACATTACTCTCTGAATAAAGCCCAAATTTGCACAAAGTACAAGGGAAAATTCATTAGTTCTTCCTGTACTTTATTTAGAAAGAAATAGCCAATCATTTAAACATCTTTTAGAAGGCTTGTCTCTGTTCATTTGAAAAACACAAGGTCTGTTCTGCTAATTAAAATTACGAACAACTATTCATTTTTGAAAACCTACAAACAATCCAGATTAAACAGCTACAAAATGCAATCTTTAAGAATGTAATTCTTAAAAAATCAGATCTGTTTAGGTGAGGTTGAGGTCCTCTGTTCTTCAGCAGGGAGATAATTTCCCCTCAGTTTAATATTAGCATGATTAGATACTTCAACAGATCGCTCTCCAAGTTTACACTCAAAAAGTCATGGCATCAACTTATGCAGGTAAAACATGCACATGCAGATTAAGTACAAGGACAGAGACAAATCTATATAGAGGAAATGTATGCTTTGCCATATAAGTAACACAAGTCAACGACTGTAATGTGATTACAAGGATTTAAACTGCAATGCTGTACACTGCTTTGTTACAGTAATTACATTACTGTAATGCATTACTTTCGTTCTGGGTTAACCCCCCCCCCAACACTGTTAAAGGGCTTTTATGGTACAATTTGCACCTAGAGTATAACTGAACACAGAAATATGCAGGGACTTGTATACAAATTTGCTCACATTTGGATGCTTTTGGCTGGTTTGTTTTATGCTTACTGTAAAATATTATAGAATATTAATGACTGTGACATTGGTACTGATGTTAGTCATTACACAGACTGATGCGAAACAATTCCTCGTCACTCATTATCACATAAACACCCCCGCACAAACAGGAATAAACACTTAGATCTGCCCACGCTACAGACGAATAGGGGAGAGAGAGAGAGAGAGAGAGAGAGAGAGAGAAAGCACACTTGTGGCTAACTGCTGTGAAGCCTGGCTGGACGCTGAGAGGACGGGACAGTGGCAGATGCTGGCAGCAGTGTGGGCTGTCAGGGGAAATACCCCTCACACGATGCTGGCCAGGCAAAAGAGCAAGCCATTCATGTGTTATACATCTTAAAGGGGTGTTCCATGCTCACTGGAACCCAGACATGCAGAGGGAGAGGGGTTTCTAAAGGTGTCTCTCTGCAGTACAATAGGCTGGGACTGCTGCCAGTGGAGAGGGGCGGGGGGGGGCAGTGGGACGGCTGGTGATTGGCATGCTTTGCAGAACCTGTTTTATTTTCCTAACAGGTCTAGACAAGGGAGGCTCTGGACGGGAACTGGAATGTATGTTTGTTTCTGCAAGGACAGTCTCATTTAATCATTTAATGAAGAACTTGTAGGAATTGTAATGAGTGTGAGTGATTTGAATTCATGCTGTACAGGAACAGTTAAAAGCAATGTAATTTTCCCTTTACTATGCTTTCTAGATTTTAAAACCAATACATTTTCACAATTTCCCAGGTCAGGAGGCTGACCGGAAGCGAATGACAGCACAGTATGAAAAGGGAAAATGAGTCAATCTTTAGTCTTCCAGCTGAGCTTTGGAGTGAATATTGATAAATGTTCAAGTGCCTCTATAACTTTAGTGCCTTTATAACCAGAACTTCAAGGCACTCGCTTCACAATTTCATGTCAGCTTGCCAGTCTGCAGTAAAATACTTCTCCAGTTTTTGCTGCAGAGCAGAATGATATCCTTTTGATCAAAAAGGGAGAGAGAATGCTTAATGGTTCTGGCAGAGGCGCTTACCTTTGCTTTGTTGATGGTGCAGTGCAGGGCATTGTTCTCCTGGTCGTACAGCAGGCTGAAGTCCAGCGTGCCCAGAGTGGCTGTGGAGAGACAGAGAGAGAAGAAACATTACCCACCCTGCAGATCCCTCACACTTCTTACTTAAGCGTCATGCGAACGAGCTTTTGATTTTTCTCTTTGAAATGTGCTGGTTACACTGGTTATTGCAACACAGTGGTCCCGCAGCAGAAATGAGGTTCATGCTCTAGTGGTTTTGCCCCTTGTTCCCAGAAGCCCATGAGAAGGTTTTTTGATGGACAGCAGGAATCGATAGCTGGAGTGTAGCTTAAAGGAATAGTTTGGCGAGAAATTAAATGCATCATTTTTCTCGTACTCCAAATGTAGTCCATCAACTGAGACGTTTTGATTTTTAGTTTTGCACTGAAGCTACAAAGCTAATGTAGCTAAAGATTAATAGTTTAATTAAAAGTTTAACCCCCAACAACTAGCACTGTGCAAACTGCATGCCTCAATCACCCTACAAATGCATCAATCTTCGTTTGTGTAAATGAGTAACACCAAATGAGATGAGATTACATGCAAAAAATGGATATGCAGCTAAAAAGCAGCAGCCGTATTAAAGGGGAAATTCCAGTGATTTTCCAAAATTTCTGTGCAAGTTAATGGTTGAGATGTAAGCGGTGAATGCGGCTTTCTAGAGAAACTGAGCGAGTTAGAACTGTTCATGGCGGTGGTAATAGGAACCAGACGTCTTAAGCGTTTCATTTCTTTAAAAAACTGCCTCTCAGAAAATAATTGAATGAAATGGTTTACAAACGTGCTGCATGATGTCTGAGATGTTTTACGATAGGTTTAATGTGAGGTTTTGGCCTTAAATCTAATCATGGTGGAAGTGTATATGCAGGGTCTTGTAAGGCAAAGAAAAATTCTTTTTTGAGATTTACCGCTATCAAAATTACATCTAAAACTATAAAGACAAGTGTAGGTTCATTCTTTCTGGATAGTAAACAAAATGGCTATATGTGCAATATCAGCTTTGTGACCCCAGGTTCCTATCATCACTGCTGTAAAAAATAGTCGGTAAGTTTCTCTGGAACAGAGCATTTCACATCAAACCACTCTGAATGACCGGATTTACATATCAGTGACTGGATTCTGCAGAAGTTTTGAAAAAGGGATGGAATTTTGATATTAAGGCCTGAATTTTGTCGATACTTAGTTTCTTTTTCATAAAGAATGTCATTCAGTATCAGCAACCACAACAGATGTGGAAAGATTTAGGCTTGCAGTTTGCATGATGCTAATTGGTGTATATAAGCTTCTGTTAGTTGTTAGCTACATTAGTTTTGTAGCCACAACATAAAACCAAAGAGAAAAACTTAAAAAAAACAAAAAAGCACCAAAAAAGTCTTAGCTGATGGACTACATTTGGCTTAGCTTTTTCACTAAACTACTCTTTAGTGTAATGTGTTTTTGTATCCCAAAAGGTTTCAGGTAGCTAGGAAACCCGAAAAAGGAACAGAAGAAAGTGAAAAGGCTTTAATGCCCTTCTTTTCTGTATGACCTTCAAGGCAACATTCAGCCCTGTTCCAGGGTGTCCTGACCGCGTACACCCACCTCCACTCAGGAAAAGCGTGCAAAACATGACAGCCAATGGACTCAATGCGGCTCCTGTAGAGTTGGGAGTTACTTTGCTTCGAATCCTCCTGCTGTGTCTGGGTCGGTATGAGAGCTGGTGTCAAAATGTGAGTCAAGCCTCAGACTGCAGCTTAGCGGGAGGCCCACGGCTCCGCTCCACAGCGGCCATCTGGAGTTCAGGCACTTCGCTAAACGCGCATGTGTCCGCTAGCCTGGAAACCCTTCTGTCAGGCCAATTAGGGACAACTAGCCGCTAAAGGAAACGCACACCGCTGTGTTCTCACTGAGAAACACCTGGGGCTTTCCTCCCACACGAGGCTTCTTTGCTTAAAGTCTTGCTTTAGCTAGCATATTAGATCAAACAAGACCAGACCAAGACCAGCGACAGAAGACAACATTGCTAAATATTCCATGGCGTATATGACTTGAAATGCCTCTTTTTACCTTTCGTTTAATTGCCACAATATGCTACACTCTTAAAAATGATGGATCTTCAATAGTTCTTTAGTAATAAAAAAAAGGTTCTATATAGAAACAAGAACCCTTTGCATGATCACCCACCCCTACTTCCTGTTGTTTTCTGCATTTTCTTTGCATTTTTCCTAAAGCTAAAAAAACAACTTTGTACTTAACGGCCATACTGACTGGAAATTATAGAGCTCATATCATGAATATTATTAAGTATGTGAAATAATATTTAAATATTGTTCAAGTCTCAAAACATACTGTTCACTCCCCAGTTCATTCATATATGTCATCTAAGCCACAAAACAATCCGTTTTGAATGAACTGTGTTTCTGTGATGTGATGAGAACAAATTAATTTACATTTATCTACCTATCCAGCCCAGAGCAGTTTAGCCCCGCCCATTCATTTTAAAGTTCTAAGCAGTGTTTCACCTCTGACTGCTTCTGAATGAGGCACAGTAGAGGGCAGCCAATCAGAACAGAGGTTCATTTATCTTGTATCAGTCTTCAGGGCACAGTAACAAAAATAGCCTGTTCAGTTCTAAGGGTTGGAAAGTGCCGATGTAAAAATGTAATAATGACCCTTTTTGGGACATAAAACCACACAAATGTTATATGTGGACCTCATGGAAAAATATGCAAGATAAATGAAGGGTGGCCTCTGACTTTTGCAAAGTACTATATAAATGTAAATGAATGTATAGCAAAACGACAATAACAACTCTACACTTCTAAGGGAGATTGCTCAAGGTTACAGGGAGATTTCATTAGGCAGGTCACACATAGTGTTAGCAAGCATGTTCTGTGCATGGCTGCTTCGGTACCTGTTTTGTAAACGCCAACTGTTTTAATTCGATAAGCGCTGCGGTCTGAAGAGGAAGTGGATAAGTGGGGGGGGGTAAGACTTTGTGTGTGTGTGTGGCATGTGAGCAACAGAGGGGCATCAGGGGACACCCGAGGGATTAAACCAGGTTTGCTTTCGATTACCCAGATTGGCACGCCATCCGTGACTTCAATCTCTAATGCATTTATGAGATGCTGGCACTCGGCAATCATGGAGGGCTTTCTTTCTTTCGCCTTAAAATTGTTTTTCTTTGTGGCGCCTACCTATGTTGCCTCCTTGTCGGGGGTTAACGCGTCAAATTCAGCATTGTGGTGTTATTTTTATGCTCTGAATGGGGAAATATCCTCCAGAATAAACAGAGGAGGCTGTGGAGGAGGGGAATGAGAGAACATACGAGAGAGAAAGAGAGTGACTGTGAGGTAATCAAGCCAGTACAAATAACACAGCAAATAGCACACGCTGCTATAGATTTATGTCCTGTCAGAGCTCAGGTGACGCATCCTTCAATGGCTAATTACTCCCTCCATCAAGCATTATTGACTAATGCACTCAAAGGTACATTTACTACAATGGCATAAAAGAAACATTTACTATGATGACGCACAAGGTTGGACTGAACTGGAAAACAGGAAAAAGAGGATAAAAAATAAAGAACTGATAGTTAAGGCCAGTCCTTCAAAGATTGCAAAACAATACAAGGCCGGTGCCAAACAGCTGCAAGGCTACAGCATTCTCTATAGAACAGCACAGACACATGGCATTGAGACACACTTTGATGGGTCCGAATGCTCCTCAGGGCTCTCCACAGCAAAAACTGTCCAAGTAAACAAACTTGCTCCAAGGAAAAGCTCAGAAACCCGATTTGTGTAGCACGAACAGCTTTCTGCTGACGCATTTGAAAACTGGATTGTGGAGCAGAAGTTAATAAGGGTGGTATCAAGAATATGAAGTACAGTCCATTTAGCAATTTATTTGAACATGAACAGCTGCTGTAATTGAAAAGAGGCGCTCATCTGTAAAGGCTGTCAGGCTTTAGCTTACAGTTCTATAGCTTACACAGCAAGTCTAAAAGCGGCAAACATCTCACCGGCCTACACGCAAGGGTTTCATTTTCTATGCATTTGCAATTTAGACAGGGTTACATTGCTGTTTGATGCATTAATGTATTCACAGAGCTGTATTTTGTGGGAAAATTCTGGGTAATATGATAAACAGCTTAGCCACAGCAGGGGTCAGCAGAGCAGGGACTGGCTGCTGGAATGTAGACGGAGTTACAGTACTTAAGTGTCGTAGGGCAGTATTGCCATTTCTTAAAACTGCATTAAATTTAGGTAGGTGTCTGTGAAGAGTTTCATATTTTCTTGTCCCCCAAATGCAGTTTGTTTTGAGCCCTTAAAATTATGAAAATATAATACTTCATGCTTTTCAGCAGGCATCCATAGCTGAATTCCAGAGTGCCTCTATGGTAACGATGCAAAACACCTACATTTTTTTTAAATGTGAAGCATGTGGACATGGAACTCACTCATTTGCATGCACACGTTTAGCACTGGGAAGTTTCTCCACAAGTAGGAGCTACTCAACAAAGTAACTTTTGTGTGCATCATTTAAAGGGAAGACACCGCCATTAACTCACATCAGTTTGAGCTTATGAATTCACGTGTTTGGAGCCACTCTGAAAATGAGAGGTGAAATAATTTAGTATCAAAATGTGGTACTTGTTATGTATATATATTTACATCTGTGAGAAAAAATCAATAATCCTAATTTTTTAAAAAAGAAAATATCATGCAAATTATCTTTAAATATCACCCAGGCTTAATTTGCCCAATGATAATTGGTGCATATGCTTCTATTACTTATTAGCTACATCAGCCTCATAACTACAATGCAAAATTAAAGAATAATGTACTGACTGATTGACTAAATTTGGTGTAACGAGATATTTTTGATTTCAGAAACCTGTTTGTGAAAGACCTGTGCTGCTTGTTTAACCTGAGCTTCTAAGGCTGTTGCACAATACACCCACTTCAATTACAAAGCATGAAAAATTCATTAACGCTGAATGCTGCTTTCTGGCCTTTCTTTCAGTGAGCAAATCCTAAGCATGTGCTTCCTTTCTGTAACCTTT